TTATCTTTTCTATACCCTACACCACTTGCGATACAGGGTGTATTAAGTTAGTGCGGACGTATGTAACACGCTGAAGGGCTTAAAATAGACGAACCTTTCATTATACGGATCGATTCAAAATCGTAATCTGAATTGACCTAAGCCTGTTTGTTCGTCTATCCGTCTGATACCTGTCCATGCGAATTTGTGTTCAAGCTACAGGTCGCAATTCTTGAGATATTTTAATGAAATTTAGTACAGAGCGGCGTTTTGACCCAAAGACACACATTATTGAAAATGGTTCGGATCATACCTTTTTTTCGACCACTTCCCATATAATGCCCTCCTCTAAAAAGTCGTTATATGGACAAAAATTATAATTTTCAAAATTTCTCGGCAAAAGTGGCCAAGTAGTAGTAGTGTCTCGGCATTCTGAATCGGTATCAAAACGTTGGACCGGTTGAGGCAATTTTTGAACCCCCTCTCATATAACGAAAACTGAAGTTCAGTCAGTTGCCAAATTTGGACCATGTCGGCCTATTTTTGGATCCCGCCCTATGTGAGGATTAAACTTGTACTACGTTAGGGTGTCGTTTGAGCCCGCTTCCCCATAAATACGCACATGAAAAATATGGCTTTATATAGGAAAAAGATATAATTTTTGTGTTCTATAATAAAAACAAGATTTACGTTAGACAATGTGGTATAGGGTATTTAATGGTCGGCCTTGCCCGACTATAATATTCTTACTTGTTTCTTTCTTTTTTTTTCGTTTGCTTATTCAAGGAAAGAGTTCTTTTTTTATATCTCGAAATCTCTCAAAATCGTCAAATTCTTAAAGAAAACACAATTTTTTTTTAGATAAGTGTTTCAACGAATTAATATTCACATTTTCAAAAGAGTCGACTTTCACATAAGCTTTGACGATACAATTCATATAGGGTTTCCTTTTAAATACAGGATAATAGGAGGATTAATGTCAAATATTCAATTAATTAGAGTACACAGAAAAACAAAAAAAAAAAACACAAACACTCTACTACAAAGGAGACGTACGCAGAAATGTTGACTGAATTTTAATTATGAGCAACGTTAACATTACACCTCGTAGCAGAAAAACAAGCCGTTTCTTGTAGGGCTTCTAGTGAATACCTTACTAATTCAATTAGAAGATTGACTGACATTCCGCCCGCGCATAAGCGAAACATACAACTGTGAAATGCCAATATATTGTTTATTTCAAATTATAATAAAAAAATTAAATGTATATACATAAAATCATCGAAATTGCCGAACATTTAAGTATATAAAGTAAAATTTCCCATTTGATATTTAAACTTAAACTTAAGATAGAAATTTATTTAAAAAAAAAAAAAAAACTTTATGCATTTACCTCCTTTCCTACAATTACGCAGGCGAAACGGAAATAGAATTTCTTATTCGGTTTGCCTTTGACAATATGATACATGTCAACGATAAACGGAATGGAATATATCAAAATAGAACCCCCGTGAAGTTTGGAGAATGCATTTATTACTTTCGCTTATTGTGCACATTTAAGAAGCCATAAAAACGATTGAAATCGAAATTCTTAAATTTAATCTATTTAATGATATGCTAATCTTTCTTAGCTTAAAACCAGCAATGCGAACGACAATCGCTTTAAGAAGGAATCGTAAAGCACCTAAAGGGAACCCGGTATAATAGCCTGCGGATAATAAATAAAACTAAGCAAGAAAAATTTCAGCAGATTACGTCATCTTCAACATCTAACATCACTTTCGACGTTTCGAATTTTGGATGAGATATGTGTTCAACGTTCTGAGCTATATATATATAGCAAATTCTGTTTGCTCTGTTCTGTTCTCGAGCCATCAAACCGACCAAGTACAGATATAAAAAATTCACCAATTAACAGATAAATTTCGACCTCATAGAAAGTCGAGTTGAAGATCAACTCGCTGTTGAGATTATTTCCATGATCTCTACCTGCGAAACATAACTGCGCTTAGAAGTCGATATAATTCGAATATAAGTCGAAGAGACGACGCCAGTGTTACAGAATTGATCCCTTTGCCCGCCGACGCAGGTATTGCCAAAATTAGTAAGGACATCCACAACTTACATAAGCACATTAGCATAGATAAATGTCATGAAAGTGCGCAGATTCCAAAAACGCGAGAAATTTTCTTGAAATACACTTCATTGAATTCCATAATGAATGAAGTAGAGTAGTAAGCGAAAAAGTCCGGCATCTCACATATATGTTAAACAAGAGAAAGCATTCAAATCCACGACAAATCGAACGTAAAGAATCCGGCTGATCGTTTAAGTGCAACGGCATCGACAACTGTGCGGAACTGCTTTCGGGCAAACCCAATTAATGCCCCTCTTGTAAACACATCCGCAAAAGTGAATCTTAGAAATGTGCATCTCTGTTAAAGAAAGGGGAAAAGGTAGAATAATAAAGAGTTTGAGTTGAGCTGCTGAAACAAGGAAAAGCCGTCAGTAAGGACCTTCATCGCAATTCGAAATTCCATAAAAACGTTACTTTAATAAGAAAAGAAGAGAGAACAACCAGTTCTGTTGTTATCATTTGGAGAAATCGAGGAAGATGCCAGAACTGGCCAGATAGTTGCGTGTATTTCCTTTTTTGGAAAAGTGTACGATCGAAAGCCTTTTCATTTATATCCTCTTTCACTTTACGACGAACTGAGTCAAACTATGAATGGACGACATTCGCACATTGTAATGTGCTCTGGGGCGAGACAAACAACAAGGCTTCATCGACTGTAAAGCAATAAGTAAAAATAAAGTGCTACAGCACCTATCAACAGCTACTAACAATTGCCACAAACCCAGGGTACATCCACTGACAATTACAAAGTAATTCATTAACAAGTTTTTTGCTGAAGCCATGGCCATGACAATAATGATATTTTCATTCATTTATTCTCATGTAAAACTAAATAATAAACTGTGAAATAATATTACATCCGCGTAAACGCAATTATCCATATATTTTGGGTGACAAAAGAGGCAAAACTATAAAAAAAAAATTTAAAAAAAAAATTAAAAAAAAAAAATAAAAAAAAAAAATATTGGAAAATTGTTAACAATCGAGTGTAAAGAATTTTAATAAACGAATCACGTTTTACGAAACCATACACAAACAATCACAAATGCTAAATATTTAGCATTAAAAACAAAAAAAAAAATAAATCTCTTAAAATATCCCAGACTGCATAGCAAAAAATGAAAACCAAAACAAAAGAGAAGAACGTGCTTGAATTCAAAACAAGAGATTTAAAAAATATATAAAAAAATGTCCGATTAAGTCATTCAATCTTTTTCCCTTTTGCAGCCATTAATACTTACATTATAACGTAAATAAGTAAAAACCAAAACAAGAAAACGTAAATAAATGTCTTATCAATGCAAACGCCTACGTAAACGTATGTGTAGGTATATATATGCGGCGTTTCTGAATTGGCGCCTTACCAAAATTTTTGTTATTTTCACACGCCGTCATTAGCAGATCTATTTTTTTTTCGCGTACTTTTTTGTTCATATTTTTGCTAGTAAATAATTCAAGATACTCCTATTGTTGTTCAGTTCATGGGGCAAACGTCTCCATAAGCATGACGAAACCTTTCAAGTAGATTTCTGGTGGGAGTCGTCGAAACATAGTAGTAATGTTTTTGAAAAAGGTTTAAAAAAATCCTAAGCTGTGTTCTGTCCAAGCAAACCGCGAACTTGATTCTTCCATTCTAATTTATCTCTTCTATATTTTAGTTCCTCGATAAGAATTTTTTAAATTTATTATATAAGAGCAAAAGAATATATATAAGTATTGTGCTTTCTCTTTTTGCTTACCTTTCTTTATGAATCGGCTGGCTGTTAGCGCTGTTTATTCTCTTTGTGTCTACTGTGCCGGTCAAGTCATTTTGGCGATAATTAAGTGCTGTTACCGTGGAATTAATGTGATCTAAAAACACCGAATCATGAATGGGACCAAGACGTTGATCGATAACCGAGAAATGTAAACTGTTAAGCGGTCCATTTAGTAGGCAATGCAATGACGGTTTATTCGAATCACTAGGTAGCTATAAAAAAGCAATGACACCAAATGAAAAAAAACGTGATATAATAATTTAAAAAAAAAGAAGACACAGAATGTTAGTACCTTAACTTTAGACGACGTAGTAGGTAACATGGATAAATTTTGTAGATCATAAACCATCAAAAATAGCGCGTAAGTATAAACAAAAGAAGAATGACTTAAAATTTTTTTTTACGCGCATATGAATTGTTTATCTGTCCGATTTCATTTATAAAATAAACAAACCTATGAAAGAAAAACTATAAACAAAAAACTTAAGGGTGAAAAATAACTATTCGCAAGCAATGACGTTCAACTTTGTAGAAATATATTTACTTTTCATTGTTTCCTTATAAATGCAATATTTAGCTAATAAACTTTAAAGTACATCAAAATGAATGCAATGTAAATTAAATATTGACATATTTAGCTTCTTTCATTAAAACGCATGGCGCTTCTTATTCCATCAGTATAGAGCAAAAAAAAAAATATATTTACAATGAATGCGATTAATTAAATGTTACATAAATTATATGATTTCGTTTGAACTGCATATTGTATTATTTTTAATATTTCTATTAAATGCACTTTTAATTAGACCATTTTATGATATAATTTAATACTTGTCCGAATACTGTATAGATTATGACAAAAACATATAAGCAGCTGTTTTAAATTATCTGAATTGAAAGTATTGATCGCATGTAAAGAGAGCACCAAGCGAAGAGAATAGCAGCCAATCATATTCACCATTAAAGAAATTAAACTACATGATCATGTTTAAAAGTACTATATTTACCACAGAATCAGTAAATTTTGTAAATAGTTTCAAGTGGGCATCCCTGATTTAACATACCTGTCGTAATTCTAGGGAAAATGGTAATAATTATTTAAAAATTTATTTATGGCAATGATAGAAGGGAAAAAACGCCGTATCTCAATTGACGGCTAATATAAGAACAACCGAAGACTTCTTTTAACAATTTTTACAAAAGAATTTCCATTAAAATACAAGCGTAGCTTTATTGCATTTGCTTTACAATAAAATAAAAGTAAGAATCGTGTGATTAATAGTAGTGCATTTGAAATTTCCGCTTCTTTTGTTGCAGAGGAGAATAAAAATAAAAATTAACGCTTGACTAAAGCAGTACGCTTTTTCTACAATTTGTCACGTTTAATCTGTAGTGTTGAAAAAAAGCAAATATGTCGCATACCATTCTATTGGTGCAGCCGGGCAACAGACCTGAAACGCGAACATATAGCGATTATGATAGTGTCAACGAATGCATGGAAGGTGTTTGCCGTATCTACGAGGAGCATTTAAAGCGTATTAATCCAAACACACCCACCATTACGTATGATATCAGTCAGCTCTTTGATTTCCTTGACCAATTGGCTGACATTAGTTGCTTGGTTTATCAAAAATCGACAAACACTTACGCTCCCTATAATAAAGAATGGATTAAAGAAAAAATTTATGTACTGCTAAAACAAGCAGCTGGTAATACAGACTGATGTAGTAGTTTAAGTAAAAGAAATCAATTTTAATATACGCTATCATAACAAAATCCCATCTAAAGAAACGAATTCATCAATACGTAAAGTTTGAAAAAACTAAACCGAAATTAATGAAATGTTATCAAAAATCAAATACTTTGGATGAATCTGGAGTGTGTTTATATTATTATTAATATATATTTCATTGCTTTTTGTTAATAATGAATTTCCACGCAACAAAATATAGAACTTATGTACTTTAGTTGTTTTTCATACTTTTTCAGCTATTTACAAAAATATGTAAAACACAATCTAACTTTTACACTTTTGACGAAGCGTTTTCTTTCCTTCTTTTAAGTTTAACTATAAATCTTTGTTTATACGATTTTCATTTTTTGTTTGTAAAACTAAATACATTTAAAAATAAAAGTTTATGTTCCGAACGAATTTCCTGTAAGGAAGAAGTTTCGGTACTTAAATTAACTTTCTGCGTTTCATATTATATTAGAATTCAATTTTACTTTATTGAAACTTGTTTCTAGCATTTGCAATGAATGCAGAAAAAATTGCATATAATTACATTTTAATATTCTCAATGTATTGAACTATTAAAATATTCCTAGGTTCTTTTTCCCAGCTTTCGAAATGCGTTCTTTCGATCAACCAAAATAATATGTGCGCAAAATATTATTGGATTACTGCAAACTGCATGCTCCATCGGAGCAGTTTGTAGGCGATCGTTTGTGTGATTCAAAACTTGTCATTTGAAAGTGATGCAAGAAGAGCACGCGAAGTGGATAAATATTCGAATTGAAATCTCCAAGGAACGTTAGGAATTTCCAAATACCTGAAAATTATAAGATGAATTCAAGAGCAAAGGAATTCGTTTCTATCAGAATTGAAGATATATCAATTTTCGAATAATTCTTTCCAATAAAGTAAAATATTGATCCAAAGGTATCACGAATACAATAAACCTGCGTATGGAACATCCAAGAATTGTCAGCCATCACAAAATCGAATGTATGTGTTTTATGTGAGCTGCTTTACACTCAAGCAAGAGTATAGCACTCCACATGTTCCACAAATAGGAATTATCGATCATACCAAAACAATGACTTGACATTTTATACCACAAATCGCTCAATTGGGCAAAAAGTGTCAAGTTTCGCGGTGGTAATGTGCCCCTCAGAATTACTCGGCAAATTCAAAATTATGGAAAAGCTTTCACCATCTTTTACAGAGCTTGTGGCCATCAGACAGCAAGTAAGCCTTACCAAATCAGGAGGAATTTAAAGAGTCGTGGTTGGGTCTAACAGCAGACCGGCCCTGATCCTAGGCAAAAAAAAATTCCCCCAACATGTAGCTTTTTGAAATCGATGATATGTTAACTACTACTGACATCGGTGTATGTCATCTGGCCTGGATTCCTGATCATTATGGCTTTCACCTAAATACATGGGAGAGCTGATCTTTATGCTTGTCAAGCTCGGCTTAATCGAGAAATTCCCTCAATCAAATATTCCCCCGAAGACTCGTTTCGTCTAATTCGAAATAACATCATGCAAGACTGAGAAGACAAATATGCATGAAATAGGAAGATCAAACGAAGATGGACACTTCTACAAGCTCTACCTACCTACCCTATCATGACCTTTAGACATCTTTCCGGTGCCAACTTTATCACATGAGAGGTGAAGGTGCTCAACACACTCATGTGCGATCGTACATATTATAAAGTTGATTTAAATGTGCTCGGATGGACGTCATCTGACGGCTGAACCTTTTAATTGCACTTGCAAAAAATATAACAGAACTGCCCTCATTACAATCGCTGACTTGTGTTCCTAAGTCAACAAAATTATAAATAAACTTTATCTTATCAATCCCTAAAACAATAATTCTTATACGGCCATAGTTCGACGTCAATATCCTTGACTAAACTCCAGAATGGACTTCTAGAAGATGAATAACTCCTAATCAAGAATGACTATCGAATCATTAATAAGTTAACAAGAAGCATCACGCAAAAGCAAAGCTTTTCATCTTTACGGCTGCTATCTACTATGTACCCTCATATTGAAAACTCATCACGTTACTAGATATATTGGTCCATTTGCCAGCAGGCCTAATCCATTCGTCTTTAACATACCAAAACAAAGGCGATTATTGTTAGGTGTTTGCAAAAATTTTGATCAGTTTTTTACTTGAAAAAGGCATATATTATGGAAAATTAGTACAATATATATTAGTCAAAATAGCTTCCTTCAGTTTCTACAACATATCACAATATTTTTGGCAACATGGCGATATCGTGTCGAAAGAACTTATATTAGGTTGGCAGCGATCCGCCTACAGACCCATTTTCGCACTTCTTCAGCTTTGCGGACCCGCGCGCCAAACGTAACTTTGAATCCTTGTATGTCTGACGTATCCATTTACGGCATTTTCTTGGAAAATTTCTGCAGCATAAAAGGCCCTGCTATTGCAGTCTTGCTCCGAAGGAATTCCTTAAAGAAGTAAAATGCCTTTTTAAAGTCGACCAATGTCATCGACCGTCAACCGTAGCACTTTTTACACTTAACATCACTCGTGGTACAAAGGTGTATGCAAAGAGGACAGAAGGGCTTAAGATAAACCCACTTTTTTACTATACCGACTTATGGAGCATCACTTTTTGAATCAATCTAAGCTTGTTTTTCCGTCCGGCTTTTCTTTTATTCAATCTACGGATCGCAATTTTAGAGATATCTTGAATTGGACACACCGACGTGGTTTGGTCCAAGGACGATCGCTGTTGCAAATGATTTGAATCGAAGTCTTTTTATTAGTTTCTTTTTACAAAAATCAAGTTTGTATTACGTGGATATTGCTTACGTCAATTTTAAACTCAAGGTGATCACAATGCTAGACATAACAATACCGTTTCAAGTGGAATGTAGTTCAAATAAAGACCGTATAAGCCTTGAAAACAAATTTTCGAAATATAGTTTCAAGCACACTCTTGATTCTCGTGACATTATAAATGAATTCAATTCCGCCTATTTATTGCTGAAATTGCTAGGGCCACGGGAAGAGGATAAAAAAGTAGGAAATCAGCACATAATTGCTTTGCTTTTATTCTGCACCATTTCAAACCGATTCGTATAATTAAAAAAGTGTTTTGATAATAGTGAACGAACTTCTTTCACGTGGAACTCTCAGATCGCCCTGGAACGTATTCGTATCATGAAGTTTTAAATTGACATCTGTTAAGGATTGACAACTAGAGTTTTTTGCCCACGATGAGATGGCGACTATCAGTAGATTAGACTTGTCTTCAGGTTTAACGGATCTAAGCATATGCTATGCGTGCTATGTTTTAAGTGATATTAGAGACCGTGAGCGTTAAAGCAAGCCGCGTTCAGGTAGTTGAACAAAAAGGAACGACTAAACCTACCAAGAATTTTAGAATTTTTATACTCTATGAGTTTTCGGTGCGTTCCGTTAGGAGTGACAAACGTAAAAGCTAACTTAGGGTACTTCCGTCGGGCAAGGTAAGTAAGAAACAAGTAGGGCCATGACCGAACCTTTTACACCCATCACCTATATCCTGAAAAGAGGTTTAAAAAATGCAGAAGAACCAAAATTTCGTACTCTACAATATTGGATGGGCGCGGCTGAGTTTTCCTATTTTCAAAATAAAAAAAAAAAACTTATAAGATATATGTGCTGCACTAGCAAGCAAAAAACCCAGAAAACAAAGGTGGTCACAGTTTTTGACGCCTAAGCGTATGGGCGTTGCGGGCGTATCCTTTGACCAGTTCGGGTCATTTAAAAACTCTTTTGCAAATTTATAGGTGATGTCTTCAATTTTGCAAACGAGCGAATGATACCACACAGTTGCGCAGACGAACATGCTTAGGTGCATTCCGAATTTGAAATTGGACAAGAATTTATATACTTTGTGACGTTTTTGAAGCATGCTTGTAGGTGTTGCGTTTCAAAGGTGTTGAAATTGAATTTTAATATACCATAATATTGAGTAGGTGTGGTAAATTTTTCCTGTTTCTGTTCAGGTATTACATCATCGGCCATAAAATATACGGTAAAATTTTTGCGTATTGTTCTGCTGTGCTTTATGAGTAGTGAAGAAAAATCAATTTTTTATTCCCTGTGATAAACAGAGGTGCTTTCAGTTTACGCGGTACTTAAGGCCTGTCCTTTAATCGATAAAGAACTTCTAATGTTTTGGCAAAATATTAAGGCGATATTGTCATGTTTCCAAATGGTAGAAGGCTTACTACGGACACTACACCGATGGACGGACAGATTGAAGGACACGCGGGCATGCTTAATCGATACAGATTTTGATAATGACCAAGAATATATACACTATATCTGTGATATCTGAAGTGTTCTTCTGGATGTGGCAAACGCTTGGACGAAGTTAATATACCGCCAATCTTCGGTGAAGAATGTGAAAACGTTTCAAATGCTAGGTTAAAATTAGAGAGATTTTTAAATTTTGTTTTAGTTTCTACCAACACTACTACTACTACTCATGTTTTAATGGGAGTCGTTAATTTTTTCGCCTATCAATCGTTATGATATCATTATGAACAGCTACGACCAAATATAATTTCAGATAGTTATTAAATTTTGAAATCTTGTCAATGAAAAGAACCGGGTACAAATGCTACAAAAGTAATTGTAGTGAACTAGAACTTGTAGGGCCTTAAGTTGTTGCGAGATGCTGCACTTTTGTAAGGCAAATAGATTGTTATGCATGAGAGCTTTCACGAAATTATCCAACCGTTTTCCTTATTCTCTTCCATCTATAAATATGTTAATATGACGATATATGCATACATGGGAGAGCAGATATTCTGAACCACGTTTAATAACAACATTGCTTAAAGGTAATATACAATTATTTTATTAATTATACTGTTTCACTCTGATGAATATATTAAACTCAAGAGATGAAAGATTGCTTATGGGTTAGGCATGATTAGGTATTGAGAAAAAGACCCACAAAAAACAATGTACAATTGGACCGTTCTACTTGACTCCAAAAAATGTACACAATTTTCCTTGGGATGATCTAAATTGAATCGAATATTTCACTCCGACAGTTTGTTCGTTTAAATCCGCGAAATGTGCAGATAAGTGTGCGAAGAATAACGATCCGGACGGAAAAACTTATATATATTCAGGGAATGATTCTTAACCGATCGGTATAATAAAAGGTGGGTCTATCTTCTAAGTCCTTGATAGCTCGGGCCAAAATTAATATACCCCGTATCGTAAGTAGTGCAGGCTATATAAAGTCAAAAGTGTCTTTTTCATCCAT